CACCACACACACAACACCACACCACCAGCTGCACGTCTGAGATACAGCTAAAACTAATTATAACTATTTAGTCAGATAACTAATTAAGAACTCTGCTATAAATCAACAACAAATTGATTCAGTCATTTAGCTTTAGATAAAACCAGAGAGATCTGCCTTGTCTCCGCCTGCTTATACAAACCGCCTCACTGCCCCAGCTTTTATTTGAAAAGGAAAGGAAGGTGACAGGATATCCCTTCCTGAACAGATATACAACGAGGTGACCACAATGATGACACTGAAACACCAGCGATATCCTTTCCTCCAGAAAGAACTGACCGGTTGTCGTTCTGTTATTTCCTAGGAAAAACATGAATCATGTTTCCTCCTCTCTCCTGCCTTCTCTCCTCTTACCTGCCTGGCCTCCTCTTCCGCCTGTCTCTCCTCTCTGCCGTCTCCTCCTCTTTCCTGTCTGTCTCTCCTCTTCCTGTCTGTCTCTCCCTCTCCTGTCTGCCTCAGAAAACTCACAGAGGACTTCTGCCTTGCGTCAGCCTCTACGACTGTAACGGATCGTGGTGAACTGTTTCTCCGGAAACTACGTCACATGTTCTGAGACACAGATCCTCCTCCCCATTTCAGAAGACCTGTGAGGACACACACAACACACACCACACTAAACACCCACACATCCACACACACACACACACACATCACATTGGCACAGACACACCACACACTACACACACACAGACACCACTCACACAACACCACCTCTCATCTCTCCTCTCACGTCACACACAAGGTGCACAACACACAGACAATTAGTGATTGGGTCACACACACATTTTCCCACACACACACACACACACTCAACAACACACACACACACTCTCTCCCTCACTTCACCACACAGCACAACACACAACACACACACTCACACACACAATGTAATGATTGAGCTCTGTGTGTGAAATGAAGATTCAGTTGAACGGTTGAGACATTCCCTCCAGACCAAAAAAACAGCGTTGCCATTTTCTGATTTGCATCCCTCAGGGAAAACAGCTGGAAAAAATGGACTTTATTTGTTGGTAAATGCAGTCTTCTATATTTGTCATCTTCATGATAAACTATCCTCGTTTTCCTCCACTGATGTCTTCCACCCCAAATCTCTGCGCGTCACCCGACGGCCAGATCCCAGCTTCGCGAGATGCTGCCCGTTACTTTATTATCAATGCATTATTATACTACTTAGATCATGATAACTTAGAGAAGTGACCAGGTCTCCACCATTCAGATGTCCTGCTCCCATCCTTCCCTTTCATCTCACTCTTCCTCTTCCTCCGTCTCGTTCCTCTCCTCCTCCTCCCTTCTCCTCCTCCTCCTCCTCCTCTCCTCTGTGCAGGAACTCACTTCCAGAGTTATCCCGAGAAGAGGCGTGGCTCGAGCGTCCAGAGGAGGTAAAGCCTCGATCCTCTGCACGGGGAAGGTTTACCTACGAGCCGCCACCAAAGAGAGGAAGAACAGAAGGGATGGAGGCAACTGTGGGCCATCGCTTAGGACTGGCCGCATGGAGCAGTAACACACACCACACACACACACACTCACACTCAAAATACTGTCACACACTCACACTCACAGACACTCAACACACACTCACAGGCCTTGTGTTCTGTATTTTTGCGTCCTGACACCTCCACACACACCACACCAGCACTCCAGACACTCACAGAACACACACCACAGCATGGACAAGGAGCGGCTCCGAAAGTTTAACATCAGAGAGTTCTATGTGCCTGGAAAACCAGCTGATTAAGCCTCCTGCCTCTCTCTCCTCTCACGTCTCGGCGTCGCGAAGTGTCTCCGGTCTCTCCTCTCTCTCCCTCGTCTCTCTCTCTCTGTCTCTCTCTCTCTCGTCCTCTCTGTCTACTCTCTCTTCATTCTGTCTGTCTCATCTTCGAGCGTATCCTGGTCTCTCTCATCTCTCTCATCTCTCCTGATCCTCCTCATCTCCCTGTCTATCTCTCGTCTCCCGTCATCTCGTACTCATCCGTCTCTTCTCTCTCTCCCCCAGTTGCCTCCGCTTCTTGTTCGACCCAGGCTGAGAGGCGAGTCGGAAGCCCATCTCTTCCCAACGCACGCCCTGGTCTGGTCGTCAGGAGGAGCACAAAACTCACGGTTAACTACTCCACGACTCAGCGTGCCTCGCACTCAGGACCTACGATCCAGACCAGCCCCAAGCCGTGTCTGGTACACACGCTTCTTCTTCATCATCATCATCTTCACCCATGTTCATCCCAGTGGCTCTGACCATCTCGTCCTGCCCCCCACGTCCCACTCTCTTCCCCCCCCCACCCCACCGCCCACCCGCCTCACCCCCGACTGCTGACCTCTCTGTGTGTCTCAGGTACGCTGGAGGAGACACCGGCGGCGGCTCCGCTACAGGAAACAAACATCACCTGAACGGCAGCCTGAAGCGATTTATTGGACAACCGCTTCGGCTGGACGCGTTCAAAGAGCAGCACGTAGACTCTTGACCTGATAAACCCTCACCCTGCCGACCTTTGAACCCGACCCTCCTGGATTCCAGCTTGTGACACCGTAACTACACACCACACACAACACACTGCCAGCACACACACACACCAGTGAAAACTGCATACTGTAGACATGTAAGAGTAACAATAACAAGTAACAATAACCCGTTTACACGTCGGTCACACCAAACGAAGTTTCTGACTAAAAAAGTATCATCAATATTCTTAACTTTCCCCAGTTTAAAAAGGACCCAGGGTAAACCTTCTGACCTGATGTTGTTTACCTCAGCGAGAGTACCGAGTATTACGCGCCTCTATTCAGCTCCTTTTATTAACTAAGAAACACAACAAACCAGTTTGCTGTGCCACATCCAAAAAGCTTCAGTTACTACATAGTCATAGCCCGATAACGACGAGTGATCGGCATAAGACACCGCGATAAAGGCGCGAGTGAAGCGTCTGAGGAAATGTGCTGTTGTGTGTGGTGTGTGTGTGTGTGTGTGTGTGCGTTGTGCTGGTGTGTGGCTCGTGTGCTGTGGCTGCTGGGTGTGGTTTAACCAGGTGTTAGCAGACACGAGACATCTCAGTAATCCTCCTATCACCGCCTGTGTTCTACTGTCACAGCATCCAGGCCGACTCCACCCACAGGAAAAATCAAATACATAACAAGAACAGGTCTGAGACAGCAGAACCGCCAACACGAAGCTCACCTGAGATCAAAGATCTTAAACGACCCACTTTCTGAATGAAGCCTCTGTGGAAGAGAGCACAGTCTCGACCTCACAGTCGACTGCAGCGCCGTCAGAGCAGGCTTAAACGAATGGAGTGAGCCATCTCTCCTTGTGTGTGTGTGTGTGTTACCGGCATGACGTCGGGGTCGTCGTTGCACATCTGGAGGAATCTCTCTGGACGAGCTGAAGAATGTTCTGGACCCTGCAGACACAGTTTGTTAACCTCACAGACTGAATGCAGCAGTTTAAAGCTTCCACCAGGTGGAGCTGTTTGACCCGGTGTTCTCCAACGTGGACTCTAACGGGGACTCTAATGTGGACTCTAACGGGTAAATGCGTTCTCTCACCATGCCCTCCATGCCGTGCGGCAGCAGCAGCACGATGCCGTTCTGTCGGACCCACTTGGCCTGACCGGGACAGATGAACTGGTCGATGATGCACTGAGCCGTGTTGTGGAAGTCTCCGAACTGAGCCTCCCACAGGATCAGAGCGTTGGGACTCGCCATCGCAAAACCCAGCTCAAATCCTGCAGACACACAAAGGTTGGATTCAGTTCAGAGAATCAAACATTGGTGAAGCCGACCTTCAGATCTGAAGCGTTCTGTTTGGACTGACCCAGGACGCCGTACTCGGACAGCGAGCTGTTGCAGACGGTGTACGGCGCCTGGTCAACAGACAGGTGGTTCATGGGAATACAGATCCTCTTGTCCACGTTCTGGTCATGGAGGACGTGATGACGGTGGCTGAAAGAGGACAAACTGTGTCAGTCGGACTTCACAACGTTGGACTCGGAGACACTGTTGATCCAGTTCCTGAGTTTACCTGAACGTTCCTCGCTCCACGTCCTGTCCCGACAGTCTGATGTGGGTTCCCTCCTGCAGCAGCGACCCGAAGGCCATGTACTCTCCCAGAGCCCAGTCCACAGTGCGGTTACGAATCATCTCACCGCGACCCTTCAGGATACGACTCAGACCTGAAACAACGAATATGATCATAAAGCCTGTTTCTCTTGTTTTACAGACAGAGGACCGATTATTGAGTTTCTAAAGCGACTTTGCTGCTGCTCCAGAAACATCTAGTTTTATTTAAAATATTAAATTATTTTCCAGTTCTGGACTTAAAGACAACCTGGCTGACCTGTTTTATCTATACTACAGTGTTATTACAGATTTGATCGTGCAGGCAGAGTTGCCAATAAAGGTCTGAGCAGACCTCCGTGGATGGTGAAGTCCTCCACAGGGACGGAGGAGGCCACCTGTCCGATGTGGTTCAGGTTCTCTTCAGTCAGACCGGTGGAGGGGCAGCTCATGGACTTCGGCTGTCCGTCCAGAGTGAAAAAACCTGAAGACGACAACAACAACAACAACAACAACAACAACAACAACAACAGGTCAGAGACAGAAACCAGAAAAAGATCCTGACACAGTTTCTAACAGTTATCCTTTCTGCTTCTGAATCTTCTGATTGATCAGAGTGAACCCCCTCCTCCTCCTCCTCTTCCTCTTCCTCACCGGTGCAGAGGNNACCGGGCCATGGGGAGTCCAGCCAGTGCTTGATGTGGAGGATCTTCTCATCTTTAGAGCGAGCGTACGCCTCCTCACAGATCTTATCGTATTTGGAAATTTCCTCCTGCGAACAGAGACGGCGAGAGAAACCAGAAGTTATTAAATATTTAAGATTTAATTTCCTAAATGCTGCACAGCCACACTGGACCAACAGCTGGAGGAGGAAATGGACACCTGCAGTAAACAAACAGTTTCTGCTTCCACTGTCAGACGGCATGCTGGGAAAACTGTAGAATCACAAGAAGAAGAAGAAGACAGGTGGTTTGTACCTCGTACTCCTGCCTGCTGACCGCGCCCTCTGCGATCAGCTTCTCTGCGTATTTCTGCAGAACGGGTTTCTGCTTCTTGATCTGTTTGTACATCAGTGGCTGAGTGAACATCGGCTCGTCCATCTCGTTGTGACCCATCCGACGGTAACACACCTGCACGCACAGGTAACAGGTACGTAAGTAAACATTAACGCCGCCCACAGTCACGTGACCACTGACGGCACCGGAGACGAAGCACTGACCAGGTCGACCACTACGTCTTTGTGGAACGTGGCCCTCCACTCCGCAGCCACCTTGCACACGTAGATGACGGCCTCGGGGTCGTCGGCATTGACGTGGAAGATGGGAGCGTTGACGACTCGAGCCACGTCGGTGGGATACGGGGACGAGCGAGCCACACGGGGGTCTGTGGTGAAGCCGATCTGGAGAGAGGAAGTCAGAGAGGTCAGAGGTCAGTCGTCTGTCGGACTGTTCATCAGCGAGTTCTTTCCGGGTTCGCACGTTACCTGGTTGTTGACGACCACGTGCACGGTGCCGTGAGTGGTGTGGGACGGCAGGTCGGACAGATGGAAGGTCTCATAGACGATACCCTGTCCCGCAAACGCTGCGTCTCCGTGGAGGAGGATGGACATCACCTACACACACACACACAC